GGGAAAGAGAAAAAGGGCAAGCGAAAAAGCATGCCCCACAGGCGACGGTTACGATGCAATCCCCTCTCTTCCATTTCTCCTTTTGGGATTTGAGCACTCATGTATATGCACCTGGCATGTGTGTCACGCTGCTGGGTCCAGGACTCAAACGGCACAGTCAGTTGTGTGCAATCCAGCTGCCCTAACCCTCATGCTATGCACTCGGCATTTGCTATTTCAGTTACCAGGAAAACCATCCACCTACTTAATTCTCTGGCCCACCATGTAGAATTAACCACTGCCTTACATTTTTACTTCCCACAGTGTTTTAGACTCTGCCGATTAAGGGCAAAAGTCTGGGGGAGAGAGCAAGGGCACACTCTCCCTCTTTCTCACAGCCCCAGTATGGGCGACGTATGTTCATATGGTGCTCTACGGTTTGCAAGGTGCGTTCACGAACATCATCTCATGCTGCCAAGGGTTGCTTACCACCTCCACCAAGAGAGTGATGCAAGCACCAAGCGTCTGAAGACACTCCCTCAACAGCACATGCCGTTTACACAGCACTGTGGTTGATGGGATTTCCATCCAGTGTTTAAATGTTTAAACAGAACTCTAAAGAAACTGCTGGCAGGATGACAGCTGGGACCAATATCAAGGAAGTTCTAGGTGTAGCAGGGTTTTTGCAGAAGGGGTAATTAATCAGAGACCTGGCACTGCAAGGAAACAGACTTCTGCCTTTTTCATTTCAAGGATAGGATGCCAGGGTATAGGTCCACATGAAAGTCTCACTCGAGAGTAAGGAATCAGCCCAGGAGGTCCCAAAATGGAGTTGATACTGCAATCCGCCCACCTCCAACTGCTGCAACCTCCCTTATGCTAACATCTGCCGCATACACTGTGGCATCATAACTCCAGCCACTCGAGTACCCCCAGCCACATCCCTAGAACTGAAGAGACCAGAGCAGTCCCCATGGCCCTGCTTGTAGGCTCATTGCAACAGCATGCTGGCCCTGCATGATTCATTCTTCTCTAAAACCCCCTCAGGGAGAAGAGCCCAAGGCTCCACCGACACAGGCCGCTAGGAGCAGGCTCCCTCCACATCTGCTGAGGGTTGTGCCAGAGGAGTAAATGAGATCTGCACACCCTGCAGCTGCAGCCCTGCGGATGCCTTGCTCAGGTCATGGGACGGAAAATGATACTGGCATGTTGGGGCTGAAATGTAATTAAGACAGAGAAGGTGTGTGCATAGGTCAGGGACAGGATGGTCTGAAACTCTGGAGACCGACCCTCCTCGAATGTGCCTACATATCCAGTTCGGAGGTGCACCTGGCTCGCCTCTGGCGTGCAGAGGGCTCACAGTATAGGTTTCCTGAATTAACAATTCAATGCAAATAAAAGAAAATCCACCAGTGCAGTTAAGCCACTAAGAACGGTTTAATTGCCCAAAAGTTGCTGTTACTAAGGGCTCCAGTCCCAGATGCCATTGTCCCTAACTGAATAAGCTAATCACTTGTTGTGTATGTGGGTTTTTTCCCCCCTCGAATGACCTTCTGCATGCATGCCTGGCATCAAAACTTGCACCAAGTGCCAAGTAGAAAGGAAACCACAGAGGGGAATCCCCTGGTAGAAACCTGGCCAGTTTGGGGGTAAAAAAAGTCACACGCTTATTTGTATTTTAGGAAAAGATTGACAAATGACTTTGAGACCCAGAACAATATACTCAGAGCTGGAATGACCCTAGGAGATAACACAAATGCCTTTGTTTCTTACTATGGAAATGAACACTTGTGATGGCAACTCAGTGTTGCCTGAAGAGTCACAGTCAGTGAGATCACTTGGGATAAGAACTGAAACTTTTCAATTCTTCCACGCTAGGTACAGGTTAGAGCAGTTCTAAGATATTAGTGAGCATCAGAATCTTCCAGAGGGCTCATTAAAACACTGACTACTGGTCTCCCACCTCCACAATTTCTGGTTCAGCTGGTGTGGGTTGGGCCCAAGAATTGTCATTTATGTATTTATATACTTTTAATTGCCAGAGGACATGTGGGCTAGCCAGAGAGAAGCAGACAGAGAGACAGAGAAAGCACCCTGATGGGGTGTGGTCACACAGCAACCCCCTCTCCTCCTTTCTACATTACTTTTGGATTTGGGATGTGCCCATACACGTGCATGCTAAACCTGTTTTTCAAGGTGCCAGGACTAGGATTCTACAGTCACCCATGTTAGAACCAGCTCCCATAACCACTAGGCTACAGGGCTAGCCCCTGAGAACTAGGATTTCTAACAAGTCCCCAGGAGATATTGCTGTTGGGGGGACCAGCATTTAAGAACACAGGGCTTAGAGCAAGAGGAGGCTCATGCTTGGGACCCTTGGGTACAAGGATGGTAGAGACAGGTCAAGTTCTGGGAAGCCAGGTTCTATCTGACTCATGGTGAGAAACAGGTCATTGGCCTGTGGTCTGCCCAACTAACCAAGGAAACTCCCTTTCTCTAATTGCTCCTCTCCTTGGTAAGGGCCAATGACTTATATCTAACTGGTGGCTGGAATCAAGTTTCAGGGGCTCCATGGGTGGTACCAAGGAGTTAGCCAGTTTTTACTGGACTGGATGCCAGGTCCTTTAAGTTCACCTCTTGGACCCAGCATTTGGCCTAACCAGTTAGGTGACTTAACCCCTGGCTCTCAAGGCTGGAGACTGCCAAGCATGCATAGAAATTCATGCACTGTCAGGAGAACAAGGCCCAACTTGTAAATGTAACTACAGAACATTCTTACTCTATCCAATTCCAAAGGGTAATCGATACTTGCATGCTATTAGAATTCTGCTTTAGGAACCATCAGATGGTGCAATGGTTACATCACTGGACTCCCACATAGTTGACTACGGTTTAATCATGGACCTGGTGGCTTAAACCTCACGTGTGTATGTGTGTCCAAGATCCTGAGAGAATGGAGGAGGAGGGATTGTGGCCATCCCCCCTGGGGGGTGATTTCTTGCTTTCTGTCTGTCTCTCTGGCGAGCACATGCACCCTATAGCAAAAATCTCTCTCTCAAAAAAAGAATACTGCTTCAAAAATGCAAACCACTGGCCAAGGCCTAGAACCTTTATCAAAAGATATGTTTCACTCTGTCTCAATGGGACTCAACCCCTATTATTAGCTAACTGACAACCATGAGAGCCTGGTGACAAACAAAATTTTGGAGGCCAACCTTCATCTCAAACCCTTCCTCTATAACCCAGCTAAACAAATATTTCTATCCAGGTGGCCCACTTTAATTTTTAGGTTATGTTTATTTGCCTGGGACTTAAAGTACACCATCAGGCAACAAGCATGAGGATCAAGTCAGGAAACCTGGGTTTGAGTTCTTTCTCTGACACTTGCTAGTTATACGGATTTGAGAAAATTTGCTAACCCTCCACTAAGCCCGCTGTAAAATGGTGGAAAATAATGTCTTCCTCCTGCATTGGCTGTGGGGTTATGCAGGTGCATGTGAGAGCCCCTGACGGGCTTCTGTGCAGGTCTACCTTCCTGCATCTGTCTGTCAATGTGCTTTAAAACAGCCCAGATCCAAAAAGAGTTGGGATCAAGCATTTAATAACCCACCCTCGGCCAGCCATGGTGGCACAGTGATAATACAATGTTCTGAGACTGAAGCCATACGAGAAGGTCCCAGGTTTGCATCCCAAGGTCTCCCTGTACACACCAGGTATTCCTGATCTAGGCTGGCTGAGGCTGAGGGTAGATCACAGTGTCAACACCTGGTTGGTACTCTTTGTCTGTCTGTCTCTCATGGAAGAAATAAATAAACTTAACAACAACAACCGCTACACCCTCCCTCCCGCCACACACCCCCCCTGCTCTGCCACACTATCTATGGAGAAGGTGAATTCAAAAGAAAGCAGCTCAATGCTAAAGACCTGAAAGGTCAAGTTCACGTAATTGCCAGCCAACACCAAGGACCCATTCACGAGAGTTGTTATTTCCTAGAAACTTACAGGGGTTGGTGGGGGGGAAGGTTCCAAATATACTCAACTAAAAATAATGATGGAAAACGTTTTTGTTATTTTCTTTTTCAATAATGGGCTTTCAAAATTGAGTCACTGGATATTTTTATCCCTCCACAAGGAAAGGGAATTAAAATGGGCAACCTCCTATCAAGGCCATTCAGTTCCCTTCTCTGATATTTGTCATAACGGTCATTCATATAAAAATATACTTGAACTACCATTGTCCAAAATTAAACTGATATCTCAACCCTGCAAAGTGACACTGGCTTCACTGTGTGTAGAATAACAGGTAAGAAGATGCCCTACCTGTGGGCATGTCCTGCCACCTGCCTCATTACTTATCACCTCTTTCCCCCCCTTCAGCTTCTCACCCTCCACTTAAGTCTTCTGACTTCTGTGCATGGAGGTCTTCTAAATTCTACATGGCAACCGCCCTCTGCTCTCCCCATCAACTGTACTCATTTCTGGCTTGGCCATTTCCAGCCTGTTTCTTCAGAAGAAAAAGAAGGGGAGGACATGCAAAAGAGTAGGCCCAAATGATCCCTCAAGTCCTGCCAGTGCCAACATTCTGTAATTCTAGGATTCCGTGCCCTAACCATCTGGTCTCAGAAAAGAAAACTTTGCCATAAATCAGTCATTAACTAAAGCCACATAAAATTTACCTTCCCCCACTTTAATATAAATGTTTCTTGCTATCTTGAGTTCGGTGAATGAAGTAACTGCTCCATACTCGTTTCGGGCCCAATTTAACAGATGTTCATTTCCATGAGGGAAGTTCCTTTCTTGTGTTTCTGCTGTCAAGGAGAAGTTTCCAGATGAAAATTGGACCTCAGAACCCTTAGACACCTAGAGGAAATAGAATTGCATATTTAAGGTTACCAGGAGCTGAATCGTAATTAGAGAAATCACTTATCAGACAACCGATGAGTATTTGTCATTCAAACCTCTTCCCTAACACAGGCAGGTTAGCTCTTTTTTCAGTGACTGATTCAAGAAATAATCTCAAACCTAGTTCTTCCAGATTACAGCAAAACTACCAAATGCAGGATGTCTCTTTGAACTCTGAAAGAACCTGTGACAAGAGTTTCTACTGTACATTATGAGTAGTCAAAAGAATTATCATTGCCATTTTCCAAATATCTAAACTGAAGGCCAGCCTTCCAAGTAATGTGTTTCAAGTCAGTGGGAAGCTTGGGAAGGCTTATGGGCTTCAGGATCAGGCCAAGTGACCCCAAAGTCCAGTTAGCAACTGAACATAACTTCCAGGTCCTACACAGTGGCAGTATCTGCTGACAGAGTCACCACAACAGGACACAGCAAAAGTGCTTTCGATTTATATTCTCCTGAGTGCTGAGATTAAAAAGGAACAGCTAGGGGTTGCCAGTCTTCCACTGCATGACTCTATTTCTTAGCAGTGAGATGAATGTGTACAAAAGTTTATTTTGTAAGACCCCCAAATTCCTATAGATAATGAAGTCAAGAGGCTGTTAAACTAATCCTAATAAAACTTTCAGGATGATTTATGCAAGAGCCACATTCTTGTGGGATATATTTAAATCATTGCTTAACTAGCATATCATAGTACGTATGTAATTAACACAAAGAGGAAAATCACCCTCTCATTCTTGTGCTATAATTGAATTTAGTTGCTAGTGAAATTAAGCAGGCCATCTTCATCGGCTACTACTGTGGTTTTGAAGTGGTTTGCCCCCTCCAAAATTTATGTTGAAATGTGGTCCCAGTGCAATTCATTGAGAGATAGTAAGGTCTTTAAGAGGTATTGGGGGACTGGCCTTGTAGTGTAGCAGTTAAGGAAGCCAGATCCCACGTGGCCAACCCCAGTTTGAATCCCAGCCCCAATGGCTTGAAAAACATGTCAGGTGTATGTGCATGAGTGTCCAAAATCCTGATCAGAGGGAGAAATGAGGAATAAGGTCTGTGGTGTGACCATACCTGACTGGGGGCTACTCTCTTTTACTCTCGCCAGTGCGTGCATCTTGCAAGTAAATAATAATAATAATAATAATAATAATAATAATAAAAAAGAGGTATTTGCACAGATCCTCTGCCCTCCTGTAAGGATTAATGATGTCTTAGTGGGAGTAAGTTAGTTCTTTTAAGAAGGAACTAATTATTGTGAAAGACTGTTGATATAAAAGTGAGCTTGGTGTCCTTGGCTCTCTGTGGCTTCCTCTCTGGCCATGGGATCCCCATTTTCCCAACACATTGTAAAGCAGCATGAGGCCTTCACCAGATGTGGCTTCCCAATCCTGGGCTTTGGAGCCTCTGGAACTGTGAGCTAACTAAACCTCTGTTTTATATAAATTACCCAGTCAATGATGGTATTCTGTTGTAGCTACCAAAAATGGATTATGACAGCTGGCACTTCTAAAATAACTGATTTTATCACTGTTAAAGTGAAATCTAAAAATGTAGGTAAAATGGCTCACATATCCCAAAGTAATAGAATCATAAATGTCTTAAATTGAATTTCACATGAACTATTTATTGTTTAACAAAAAGCAAGTCATTTCTGAAGGCGTTACCAAGAGCCAGACTAAAAAGTAAATCAAGGGCAGGTATTTTGATAATGGTTTTTATTGCTTACAGAAGCATTTTCAACTTTAACACACATACAGAATAGTACTTATATAGCTATGATGCTAGGCATTAATATTTTATTTGATTCTATATACATATATTTTTTCAAGAGTGGCAAAGAAGTACTTCACTTCATTAATTCCATATCATACATTGCACAGTCTCCATCTTGGCCTAAAACTAGAATCACCTGAAGAACTTGTAAATATCTTAATCCTCAGGCTATGTTCAGACCAACCAGAATCTTTGGAGTGAGGCCAAAACATCAGACTTTCTTTTCTCTCTCTCTCTCTCTCTTTCTTTTTCTATTTGGTCAGAGGTGTAAGCACTCCCCAGAGATAGACAGAGAGACACATAGTGAAAAAGCACCTCCCATAGAGAATGGTCACACCTTCTCTATCTCTCTTGGTGTGTGTGCTTGTTAGACAGAAAACAAGATATCACCCCCCAAGAGGAGATGGGCATGCTGAAATCTCTCCTCCTCCATTCTCTTCTCGGGATTTTGGGCACACACACACACACACGTGCCTGGCATAAATTTTAAGCTGCCAGGTCCGGAACTCAAACCACAGTCAACTATATGGGAGTCCAGCAATGTATGCATTATGCCATCTGCTGGTCCCAGGCGACAGACTTTTATTTATTTATTTATTTATTTTGAGAGGTTTTTTGCTATAGGGTACATGTGCTTGCCAGAGAGACAGAAAGCAAGAAATCACTCCCCAAGGGGAATGACCATGCCACAATCCCTTCTCTTCCATTCTCTTCTTGGAATCTTGGGCACACAAGCACACATGCCAGGCGTGAGTTGAAGCTACTGCGTCTGAGACTCGAACCGCAGTCAACTACATGGGAGTCCAGGACACAGCCATTACGCCAATCCCTGGCCCCAGCATTAGACTTTTTTAAAGCTCCTTGCATGTTTCCAACGGTCAGCCACATTTGAGGACCCCTGTCTTAATGGGTACTGAGTGATTCATAGTTTGAAAATCACTGAAAAGCATATGACAGGCCCAATGTGGGCACCTTACAGCTTCCTTTACACCAGTGGTTCTTAACCAGGGGTGATTCTGTCCCCCAGGAGATCATCGGCAACGTCTAGAAACATTTCTCATCATTATACCTAAATAACACAATGCACAGGACTGCCTCCACAATAAAAAATTATCCAAAACATCAACAGCACAGAGACCAAGAACTCCTGCTCTACACTTTAGATTGACCGAATGTTACCACCACTCAAAGATCTACTGGATCCCCAGTTTGAATTCCCAGATTGACAGATCTTCCTATGTTAGAACTCAGGCTACTTAATTCTTAGTAAAGAATATGGGCCTGTGTGGTTTGTATTGACTTGAGAAGCCCAGAACTAATCATTAACCAAGTGCACGTAACTACGACCACTCATAATAGTCACCATTTGTTGTACACCTACTGTGTATCAGGACCATGAAGTGCTTTTGAATGTAGTAAAGAGTATTTCTAAATGTCCTGATGCCAGTTATAAGCAAAATCAGTGTGGAGCATTTAGCTTTGACCTTGTTTCGATGTCGTCTGCATGACAAATATCTTCTGAGCCATTTTCCTGCCAACAACAGCCATGCCCACCTACGTGTACACTCCCCTGAGACTCAGCTATTCATCAACACTGAGCCTCAAACCTATGTATCTGGTTTTCTGATCACAGCCCTGTAGTATTATCTTTTCACTAAAAAAGCTTTCTTATCACACACACAGACACACACACAAATCCACAACAGTTCAAAGACCTTTGTCCCACTGCCAACACAGTTCTGAAGGTTTAGGTATGTAACCCTAACAGATCTTGTGTTCTCACTCATGTTTTGGTCATAAAATATAACCCTGGGTTTTAAATATCTTATACATAGTATATACTGTTTCAGAGCGGAAGGTGGGCTATATCAGACACTGGTGCATTCCAGATGCAAGAAGACAGTGTAAATAAGAAATCAGGGGCATCTTGGCAATGTATCCTGTAGTCATTAAAATGAATACGGTGCTATAGCTGATTCTATGTACACATAGAAAGAAGGGGTGATTCCTGTTAGTCCCTCCATGTACCATCGGTCCTGGGGTCCGTCTTCTCCTGGGCTAGCAGCAGTATAGCTCATACACTCAGGGCTGAGGAATTTGGGAACAGAGTTCACTGCCACTCCTCAGGCACATTCCAACAAGAAGAAAGCAAAGCTGCCAGAGCCAATGAGGTGTCCCTGACTGCAGGTCAGTGGAAAGTTTTTGCTTTAGCAAGGGGTTAGTCAGCACTGTTTCCCTGACTGCCAGCTCACCTGGTTCTGATAAATCTAGAGCTGACAAAGGCCTCCCTGCCTATTGACCCCTCCCCCCAAGTTTTAGATGGTTAAGACCAGAACATGAAACTTCTGACTCCTGGTCATGGCTGGCCTCTTCTTGAAACCCTGTAGAAGACTGCACGAGCTTCCCAAACAGATTTCTGTTCCTTCTTTCCAACTGTAAGATCCACTTTCTATCTACTAGTCTGAGCTGTCTTCATCAGCCCAAAGAATTTCTTCTTTTTCCTCCATGAGACAGCCTTCAAAAGTTTGAAGGTGTCACCTAACCTTGATCACATGTTCGCTTCTTCAGGATAACATCCCCAGCTTCCTCAATTTGTCTCCAGACAGCAGAGTGGTCAGATATTACTTGTGTAGCCTCTAAATCATGGTGCCAGAACAAGATTCAAGATCTCTAGGTACTGTATGACTAACATATTGTGATGGTTAATCTCATGGGTCCATTTGACTGGGCTCTGAGGTGCCCAGATATTTGGTCAAACACTATTTTGTGTATTTCTGGATGAGGTTAATATTTCAGTCAATAAAGGGAGAAAATAAAATCATACTCCTGAATATATGTAGGCTCACTGAATCAGTTGAAGGCCTGATAGAACAAAAGGGTGACCTTCCTCCAAGTAAGAGAGAATTCTTCTGTCTCAAGGCCTCAGAACTGAGGCATCAGTGCTTCCTGGTTATACGGCAGCCTACGGGCTTTCAGGTTGAATGGGACACTGGCTCTCCATGTTGTGGACTTGTCAGTTTGCATAACTTTGTGAGCCAATTTTTTTATCGCTATGCAGATACAGGAAGAGGAGCATTTACAGTTGAGATGCTACAAAGGTAAGGAAGAGTAAGAGCAAGGGAACTAGTACAGCTAGCCAGAGGGGTGGGGGAGATGGGGAGAAGAAAAGGTCCCAGAAGAGCAGTAGACCC